CCTGCGTAATCTTATATAAGAATTTGATAAGAATCAGGTAAGATTCTTACGTGAATCTTATTGGGTACTTATAAGTTTCTTATAAGATTCTTAACTGATGCTTATATAAGAATCGACGCCTAGGGATGATACAACTTTTCGACTATATCATCAGAGTGTGATAAAAATAACTATATTGAATATGATGTTATGGAAAATAAGCGATTTCAACTCATTAAATTACCTGGGGGCATTAAAAGATCACGACCAAATGCCGAAAGGCATACATATGTGAGTAAACATAATAAAAACATTGTTGCTGTTACTCTGACTGTGTAAATAAATAAAATCTAAGTTTCATTTAAAAGAAGAGAAAAATGATTTTTTTTCATTTTCTTCATAAAATCAATCTAGTTTCTTGGAATGGAGGAGCCTGTTAAAACACGTTCGAATAATGCATCAATCGGCGTAGCCTATTTAAATAATCGTCCATTACGAGAGAGACGTGGTTGTGAACTCTATCCAGATCGAATTGATTTTGGTGTATTGAAAGAAGTTAAGTGCCATCCCTTAGTGACATGCGACAAAAGTCTGAATTGTTTTTTCTATAACTATAGGCGCCACATATTCAACAAATATTGAGATAAAAAATGTTGGCATTGATTCATGTCGATTTCGAATAAGACAGCCGCCGTTGGGAACTGGACTACGAGTGATATTTCAGCCAGGAACGGTAGTACATAGTCTACTCAAATATCATAACTCGTCTAAGAAAAAAATCTGATGTTTTTTTAGTTAGCAGCTGGTATGAAGCGTCCAATTACCATTGAATTGTACGCATTGATTAGTAATAATAATAAACAATTAGCAAATAATTACGGTAATGGTCTATCACAATTAGATCAAAAAGTTGAAATAATAACCGAGACAAATATTATATATCTGCCAATACATGCAAAAATAGCTTCCGAAGAACAATTTGATACAATGTTTGTTGATAATGATGAAACAGGTATCCACGGTGATATTTATTTAAAATCATGTTTTTTCTATTTACTATTTTTTAGCCGGAATGAACAAACCTTCAATAACACTAATTGCTCGGCGAAGTTCAAATACAAACGATTGGTTATTTACTAATCAATGAAAACAATAGTCAGATTCAAGAATTAACTAATATGAACGTGTAACAACGACAACAAACGATGGAGGCGTTGATAATACATCATTTTCTAAAAGTGAAAATTAAGTATTTATTCCACTAAGAGGGACTAGTAAACACAGATATTTTTGAATTTTAAACTAGTCGGCGGTGAATATTTTTTTCTATTTTTCTTCTAATTTATCGCTTCTTGTATACTCATGAGTAATTCAAGTCTTTTATAAGTCACCAGTAAGGCGCAGCAAGTGCTGCATAGTCCCATGCCTGAAAATATTGTCTAGTCAAGAGGCTGAGTGATAACGAAAGATTCAATATGAAATACAGTGCTCTAGAAATGTAATAAAAAATGTATACATTAATTATATTAGGAAATAGTAACACAGAACTCGAATTTCTGTTGAAATCCATACCGTGTATATATAATCACATAATATAAGAACGCATCAGTCAAAGAAAACTACTCAAAACAAATCGTGAACACTATGTAACGGGAATCGAATGAGAAAAACTGTCTATGAGAGGAATCTGACGAGAAAAACGGACTGTATGGATAATTAGAGGAGGAAAACGCTTTGTGAAGGATCATCGGAAGAAAAAATGGTCAAGAAAGACAGACTATAATGAAAAACTAGCGACAGAAACTCATTTTCCCACTGTCTCTTTATCAGCGTTCAACCAAGGCGCACCAGTTCATAAAGTATAGTCACATAAGCGCGAATTTTGTCTGCACCGTATTATCTGCAGATTGTTCATGCGTAGTCACATTAAGTGTACCTTTTTTCCGTCATTGACATTAATATCCGCAGTTTCCTATTAACAATCACATTAAACGTACGTTTTTTCCATAGTGGTCCGCACCTTTATTACGCGAATTCTACAACCATGTACTAAGTGTACGCGTGACAAAAGAAAAAAAACGACAACCCTGTTTTGATGATCAATAAAATATATACAATCATTCAAAACTTTTCATCGTTTTTAAGAGAAAATAAACTGTTGTCAATTGCAAAGTTCACCAAATCCAAAACACGATTATCAGTTACAAAGCCAAAGACGCTTTCACCATGAGACGAATTCAAAAATAATACAGCTTGTTTCGTAAAAATAAAGAACCTTTACATCTGACTGTATCATAACCTTTTTACATTCTGGACAAAGTGATCTAATTAGAATTTATGCACACAACCAAAACTTTTAGAAGGATTTCTCATGTCACATCGTGTTTGTGGCAAAAAAATGGCACCAAATTCTATCAGAAAATTTTTAAAAGATAATAAATTAGAATTAGAAACAAGAGGACAAGTGTCGATCAAGTTAACGAAGGAAAAGACATCGGTTGATTATAAGAAAAATGGTGTTAATTCCACACAGCACCATACAAAAACACATATCGATCTTGGAGAAGATTCAAAACAAGTAAGGAAAGCAAAAGTACCTGGAGCATTGAAAAGTTTATTATCAGTCGTTATTGCTAAAACCAATAAACCGGAAAAAAGAACAACAACAACTCAACGAGATAGAAAACGGAAGCGTTTAAGACGACGATAAAAACGCACAAATAACGACAACAACCATCAGCACACAATTCACTCAACTAACAAAACTTTCTCATGCAATAAGTAAAAAGAAGAAAAATGAGTGATCATTGGCAGTTGATAGTAAATTTTTTTTCTTCGAACTTATTCTTACTTTCGTACATATTACTCTGTTTCTCTTATCCCCGCAATAAGTAGAAAAAGGCACAGTTTTGGAATGATACTGTCCCCCTGACAAGAAACACGTAAGCCCTGTATCAAGCCAAACTAACAACTTACGTGCTAGGCATCGTCGAAATTTTGTTCTGGTTTATTTTTGCAAGTTAGAAAAATTGTCATTTTTAACAATTTCAAAAAAAGAGTTAAATCGTGTAGATTATCTTAATATCAAGATGTAGGACTACGGAAGATGCACAAACGTGTAGTTACTAAATCCTCTCTTAAACCCTTTTTCATGAAAACTAATAAATCCTTATTCGTTCTGTATAGTTTCATTTTCCTAATCCCTTGTTGGTTTTTTTAGAATAGGCATTTTTTCTTAGGGAATATTTAATAAGTTATGGAATCTCGATTGTTTATTACGTTTACTTATGAGTGGGCCGGGTAAACTTTTCCTAGAGGAGGGAGAGGGGTCGATAAGCTTTTTAGAGTGATACATACAGTGAAACGTACTCCCCAAAGACGTACGTAATTTTCCAATCAAGTATTGTACGTTTTTTTTTACTTTAAATTATACGAAAATATACTGCTGTGAAATATAATTCTGTACAAGGTAATAACTGCTTATTGTCCTTGATATTTTTTTCAGAAGGGGCAAGTGCTCCGAACAGCTCCGCTGAAGATCCGTCAATGTGTTTACTAACGTGTAGCCTAAACTGTCCACTTTCAGACTCTGTATCACTTATCACCCTACAAGAGTTTTTGAGACACTCTAAAGTATTATTTAGCATTTTCTACAATGGCACTACTGTGAACCAGATATATGATTGTTTTTTTGTAAACATCATAGATCAAAACCTGTTGCTTAAAACAAGAAGTGTAATGTGTGTGTGACTTTGAAGTAAAACATTATGCATATTACTCTGTAAATTTTCACCAGGAAATGCCGGGTGGATCTTCTCGTTACGGCAAGATAAGCTAAAATACAAATGATGCCGACACCATCAACGTGTATATCCATATAGAAATTACAAAAGCTTTTTTGTCCGGTCACACAAAAAAGAATGCAAAAACATAAGCGGAGTAACGCGAAAAATGGTTACAAATGCAAAATTCTGTATATTCTTGTAGAAAAAAATATTTACAAAATTCTGTATTGGTCGAACTAATACAGAATTTTGTACTAGAAGAATATACAGAATTTCGAATTTGTAACTATTTTTCGCGTTATCCCGCTTATGTTTTTGCATTCTTTTTTGCGTTATTCACTTGATTCACGCAAAAAAATATTTTGGTTTTGGCGACATGGGTATGTGGAAGGTGTCGTTGTCATTTTTATTTTAGCTTGTCTTGGCCTCTCGATAGCTTGATTATTGCTACTGAGGTTCGATAAGTACATTCTTTCCGTGGACGGTATAAAGTATTATCAAAAATTTTTTGTTGGGAATATTTACATTTTGAACTTGAAGTCAGTGACAAAAAGTAACGCAACAAAAGTTTAGAATTCGGTACCATGAATTTTTACATTTAAATGCATAACTCAGTTTAACACAAATCCGATTTTTGTAGCAATTACTACAAAGGTAAGAAAAATTTACCGTAGTCCATTTTGCACTCTTCAATGATTCAATATTTCGAACTGAAATTTTTTTCATAAAACATTCATATGCTAGTGCTTAGATCCCGAAAATTTTGTTTGGGTCAAACGTACGATACAGAAAAGAAGGATTTAGAAGAGTCCATCAATTTTCCTCTATAAATAATAGAATTTTCTTTAGTTATAGCCGATAAATGTACATAGAGTTTGTTAAATTTTTATTTAATTAAAAATTCTTCAACCAACTATTTACGAAATTGTATTATTTTTGAATTTCAGCCTTGATTTAAGAAAAATAGTTTTGATTGAATCGAAAACAAACAATAAACGCACATCGTCTATGCGTTCCTCTTGCGCCCCATTTCTTTTCTTTGCCAATATATAAATCGATGATGCGTAACACTTTGGATGTATACATTATGTTTTCATCTTAACAACAATATTATTATTATATGATCAATGATCAACAACACGTGTAAAACAATAGCTTTGTAAATTATCTTTTTGTTAGTTGGTGATTAATCAAAATGGTAAACATAAGAAATTCTCTTTTTTTCTACTTAAAGTTTTAGTTCTGAATTAGAACAAAATTGATAGTCACCTAATTTCTAATTTTCCTTATTAATCATCAGGTTTTATATAAAGTTTATTGTCTCATGAAACCATAGAGTAAAACAATCCAAACAAGAAGAGTTTCAAACGCCCTTTCCTATCTATATAAAAGTGATTCGAAGAAGTTAAGACCGTTTCGATAAAACTGAAGTTATATGCACATTTTGCTGAAATGAATTAGATACTATGCATAAAAACAGACAGAATCCTCAAAACTCATTTAATGTCACACGTAGTACAATGTTTTTTGCTTGTATGTGTGTAGGATGATAAAATGGTAGCCAACACCGTTCAAGGGTAATGACTTTTTTTTAACATCTAAACTAAATGCTTACTGTTTTTTCTGCATTGAATTCTTGAAGAAAAAAAGTCTGCTAATTATTAAAAGAAATCTTAATCAGCTGCCTTAGCGTAAAACTAACTGCTTAATTTTAAGAAAGTCAAACGACCTACTATCCATTTTGAAATATAAGGCTGAAAACGCTTTTTTGAATAATGTTAAATAATAATATTAATAATGTTTGATACAACCACGTGTTTCGCTCGTTC